ATGTTTTAGACTTTTCATTTCTTAGGCGGGACAGGGTGTTAGGGGGGATCCACCCGCTTCTTCATCGGTAGCGTAGGTACTCTCAAGGTTTCCTTGGTGCCTGCGGTCGTCCGGGCGGCTGTGAGCTGGTGATCGCTTCTGTCTATTGATAACAAGGCTTCTTCACGGTTGCCGGAACCTCCCACCTGACTGATGCGCACATGGCGGGGGAGCGTGCGAGGGGGGGCGTACTCTTATGCTTTGCATGCCTTAGCGGTTAGACCATTGACCACGCGTCCTCGAGAGGACGGAGCATTGTTCCCACAGGACCGATCACCGATGGTCAATCGTTCCTTCCTACTTTGCCAAAGGTGGCTCAAAAATGTCTTTCCTAGTCTGTATATCCTACCGATGTCACTTCCCGCTTTTTCAAACCACTTTCTACTCCCCAGTACCGCTACCGTCCTCTCCTCTCTATTCCATGCCTCAAACATCTCCCTGTACGTCCCTTGTATTCTTCCCAGGTCAGTCATGTACACTTCCCTCTCCTTTTCGTACCACGGACATTCCGCGACTACATGAACACTGTCTTCGCATTCGAAGCCGCAATCGCATTTGAACTTGTCGTCTTCGTCGTCTACCGTCCTATGTCTTCGTCGACGTTCGCGAAGGCCTATGTCCCCGGTCCTGAATTTGACCTTAAACTTTGTCCCTGCATCCATTGGTCCATGTAGGTAATCCTTGAACCCTATTCCTTCTTTCAACATTCCGTACACTTCTAGACCCTCCTTATCCTTGGTTTCTTTCCTTAGATTCTGTTCTTCTCTCTCGGCACAAGCAACAGATATCTTCTTCTTGAACCCCTGTAGACCCTCCGTTTCCAGCGTTTCATCTTCGTCGATGTCCAATCCCTTCCATACGTCCTCTACAACCTTGACCCATTCCGTGGGTTGTCTACCCCTCTTTTTGTTTGCCCACTTCGCCTCCCATACTATTCTCGGCAACCTCTCCTCTCCCATCCCGCACATGCGGTACTGCCATGTCAGCTTCCTTACGTCTCTTCCCGACCGTAGGGATTGGATCCCCAATACTGCCCTGACTGCTGCATTACTTGTGCGCTTGGAGCATCCTAGGATGATTTTCGCTGCTTTCATCTGCGCCGCCTCGAGTTCTTTCACTACCTTCTTATTTCCTTCCCATACTTCTCCGGCGTACTCTAGCGGCGGTACGATTACGCTCTTCAAAACCGTCAGTTTGATGCGTGCATCAAGGTGCCGGTTTGCGAGTATTGGGTGCAGCTTCCCTGCTCGTGCTTTGCCCTTTTCCGCTACCTTGGACATGTGTGCATTCCACGAGCAATCTTTTGCGATCTCTACTCCGAGGTATGTGTACTGGTCCACTACTGCAATCTCCTCGATCCCCCACTTCCATCTATGTTCTACTGGTTCCTCCCTGCCCTCGTTGCATACCATGACGGCACTCTTCGTAACGTTGGCAGACAATCTCCACTTATCAGTAAACTTCTTCGCCGCGTCAATTTGCAGTTGCAGTCCCTCAGGGGTGTCCGACATACCAACAAAGTCATCCGCAAACAGCATTCCTGACACCGAAGTTTCCGTGTCCCCTACTTTTACTCCCTTCCGGACTGCCTCTACGACTTCCAACAGATCGTTGATGAACACCTGGAACAATGTTGGGGACAGCGTGCAACCTTGTGGGACCCCTTGCTCAATGTCGAAGAATTTAGACAGTTCTCCGTCTAGCATGACCGCGCTTTTCGTACACTCTGCCATCTTCTTCAGCACCCTCCACATTTTCCCCTTGATCCCGTACTTGGACAATTGTTTCCACAGCCCATTTCTCCATACGGTATCGTATGCCTTTTTCACGTCCAGGAAGAAGCAGTACGTCCGCTTGCCCGCCCTCTTTCTACCTTGGATGATTCTCCCTACCGTGAATGCGTGGTCTACGCACCCCCTCTTCTGTCGGAAACCTGCCTGGCCCTCACTAATGCTACGTTTCTTCTCCAATACTCCCACTATCCTATCGTTCAGCAGCT